TAAAAATGAAAAATAGTGAGGTGTTCCTATTCTTATTACGCACGGATTTGAATATTTTGTTGACATTTTATAAAGAAACCAGCAGCTGCCAGGCAGGATACGCCCAATTTTTTCAAGAGATGGATAGAGAACAAGCTAAAAAAAAAATAGTGATTTTTCGTACAATCAGGGGCCATAATTCAGGAAGTTACAGTCTGATATGCGCGAATATCGACAGGAACCAAGATCTTTGGGTTATAAACTTTCATTTCAAGTTTCATCAAAATAGGATTAAAATTGTGACCTCTATAGGGTCCACAACCTTGATATACTATATTTTTACGCTATTTGAGAACGAAGGGCCGCCATTTTGTCTGTCAGTTTTGGGCCGATTTTCACGAAATTCAAACACAGCCGTCCTTAGGGTGTAACGGTGATATATTAATACGATTTTTTAAATCGGATAAAAATTATGACCTCTATAGGGTATACAAGCTAAAAACGCGATTTTTCATACAATCAGGGGCCATAATTCAGGAAATTACGGTCCGATATGCGTAAAAATTATGACCTTAATAGTGTCCACAAGCTAAAAACGCAATTTTTCGTACAATCAGGGGCCATAATTCAGGAAGTCACGGTCCGATATGCGCGAATATCAGATGGAACCGAGATCTTTGGGTTATCAACTTACATTTCAAGTTTCAACAAAATCGGATAAAAATTGTGACCTCTATAGGGTCCACAAGCTAAAAACGTGATTTTTCGTACACACAGGGGCCATAATCCATGAAGTTTCGATCCGATACATGCCAATATCGAAAGCAGCCGAGATCTTTTGGAGATAAACCTATATTTCAAGTTTCGTCAAAATCGGATAAGAATTGTGACCTGTAGAGTGTCCACAAACAAATTGTAGACGGACAGACAGAGGGACGTCCGGACAGACAGGGGCGACGACAATATACATCCACATGAAATTTTGAAGGAATATTACGGTTGTGAATTTAATGCTGAAGCAGGATCGGTAAGCTTTCATTCAATGTATTACGAAAATGCTTAATTTTGTAGGAATGTTACTGACATAAATTTGAATGCTGTACGGGAATTAAATATGAAAAATAGCGAGGTTCACCTATTTTTATTACGTAGGGGATTTGAATATTTTGTTGACATGTGATTTTTAATTGTGGTATGAATTGAATACCGTACGGGAATTAAATATCAATTTTTATTACGTAGGGGATTTGAATATTTTGTCACATGTGATTTTTAATTGTGGTATAAATTCTTCTGCTTAAATAACAATAAGAGTTGTGCCCCTTTATTTTTGGTAAAATGTCCACAAATTTCAAACAACACCATTGGTGAAACCCTAATAAATACCTCTTGTACAATAAGTAAAAATTCTACATACCACTAAAAATTCTAGCTACTACCACACCAAAACAAATACACCCAGGGCTCAAGCGAGGGGGCGAATTCAAGCAAAAACTTGCGCTCGGAACGCCTTGGAGCTTGACCACGCGACTTCTCGATCACCTTGTGTCGCTGTATCATGTCTTGGTGGCAACTTGAGAGTTTTTAAAGTTACCGGTATGTGAATTGTAATCTCAACAAGCCTTCGGCCGGCTTGAGTTGCTAGCGTCATACCAAATGTGACGTAATACAATACTAATAGTTGCGGAAGTTTTATGATTTTAATAATAAATTATTCCCTTCTTTGCATTTATATAAATGTTTGTATGAATTATCATGTATGAAATGATTAACGTGACCATCCAAGCGTATTGTCTATTTTTATCACAATATAGAGTCAGCGTGTATCCGGCCAATTGAAACCTTTGTTTCAAAAATAATCTGTTTTTAGTAACAAAAGGTCTCTCAATATTAAAACATATAATGCTGACATTATCTCAATGTTAAATGAAAATCCTGTTTTACTCCAAAAAATATGGCATATCTGTGGCGGCTATTGTCATTTTAAATGCTAGCATATAAAAGAATAATGAAACGAGTGGCTCTGACGTTTATATCTCTAGATATTTCTTAGTTCTATATTCATTGTGTCGTATAAAAATTATAAATAATGAAATTGAGTAAAAATCTGACTGCGGTGGTATATAAAATGTGATATTTGATGGAACCGTTATTAAATCATTTTGATATCTAAATCATGTCTGCTACAAACTGGCTAAGTCAAAATTCTCCTAAACCGAGTACTAAATGAAAGGATCGCAATGATTTGACCGACATTACTCCTGCCAAACGAAAGTACGGCAAGGCATTTACCCAGGATTCTTTTGATTGGTATGTGGTCGACGAAAACGGAAAATGGCATTATAAGATATGTAGAGCAGCTAAAGTTGATTCTAATTATGCCGTAAGCCATGATCGTCCTGCTAAAACAACCAATCATACTCGTCACAAAGTTTGTAAGTGTAGTTTAATTTTTTATATTTTTGTATTATCATAACTTTCTTGACCTATTTTTTTATGACCTAAATATAGTGATCTCTAACTATATGAAATGAAATGTACGATCTCATTGGTCAATAATACATTGATGTTTAAACAGATCAGTTGATTGGCTGAATAACCTATATATTTTAAAGAGAGGTAACTCCATTTTTAATCAGACCACACTTTTTTTTTCTTTTTTACATTTTCGTTTACATAAAGAATTAATTTCAGTTTTTACTATAATTGATAATTTTGTTATTTCAGCACAAAAACACCTTAATTCTGTGACAAAAAGCCAACTTAAAGAACAGAAACCACTTCAAAAGTTAATAGCAACAAAATTGGATAGAGATGAAGAATATATTTTGGGATATCTCAAGCTGGCATACTTTTTGGGGAAGATAGAACATCCTAAGAACGATTTTCACAAATTTGTATCAATGGCAAAATGTTTAGGATTAAACATCAACAACAACAACATGCAGTAGCACTTTATATACCAGTAATCAGGCCATTACTGAGTTTCAAGCTTCATTGTCACAAGTTGTGCTGAATGAATGCTTACTTAAGGTATCAGATTCTGTGTATTACTCACTGTTACTTGATGAAAGTACAGACAGAGCTAATATACTATAGTATATACATACAGTATTTGGATAATAAGAAAGTGTCAATTAATTTATTGAACAACTTGGAAATAACTGGGTCCTCAGCTAATGCAGAAACCATTGTTGGAAAAGTTTTATTTTAGAGGAACTGAAACTAAAAAATCTTAACATCAAGAATTCAGTTGGTGGAACTGATGGTGCCAGTGTGATGACTGGTAGAAAGAATGGTGTGATAGTAAAGCTCGGAGAGCATTCTCCTGCTTTGATTGGCCTGCACTGTTCTGCACATAGGCTGTCTTTAGCTGCATCACAAGCTGCTAATTCTGTGGAGCAAGTTAAAGCTTATTCAAAAACTTGGAATAGTGTTTTTTATTATTTCAGTAATTCTGCATTACGGTCCAACAGACTTAGATATATACAGAATGTTTTAAATTTGCCTGAGATAAAATTAGCAGAAATGCACTCTGTTAGGTGGTTAAGTTTAGACAGGGCAGTGACTGTTATTTACAGAACATATCCTGCTCTTGTAATGGCTCTGTCAATTGAGGCAGAATCAAACCCCATTGCCCAAGGCCTTTATAAAGAAGTGAACCAGTACAGGTTCATCGCCATAACGCATTTGCTAATGGATATATTGCCCTTTATAAGTAAGCTATCCAAAATATTTCAAGCTGCATCTGTAAACCTTGCAAAGATTGACCCCATGGTAAAGTGTACCTCAGACTCTTTGCTGGACTGCGATGGGTTTTTTTTTTGAGTAAGTTATCAGATTTTATTGTAAATACTGATGAGAAATGCATCTACAAAAGACTAGTATCAGAAGGTTTAATTTCTGAAATAAAGAAAAAGGTTGATGAAAATGTAGAAGGTTTTTCAGGTTTTGATGATAATCATGTTAAGGATAAAATTATTGATGACTGTAATGAAGTTGAATTAAGATATTATGTCAATCAAAAAAATAGTGTAGATAAAATTTCAAATGATTATGTAAAGGCAATAGTAAATTACCTCAAAGATAGATTTGTGCATTCAGACATAGTAAATTCTATTAATGTTTTATTACCAAATAAAATAAGGATAATTTAAATAGCTTTGGTGAAGCAGAAATTGCTCTATTAATTGATAATTATGCATTAAATTTTGATAAAGAAAAAGATGGCTGTAAAGCAGAATACAGAATGTACAAGAGATTAGTTGTAGGCAGTTATGCAACGTCTTCATTTATAGACATTGTCAATACAATGAATTCTAATTACAGAGACTGTATGCCCAATTTAATTATAATATTAAAATGTGCACTTATCCTTCCCATAACTCCAGCCCATGTAGAAAGGGGATTTTCAACCCAAAACAGAATCAAGTCCAACTTCAGAACGTCCATCAATAATAAAAGTTTAATTGATTTAATGCGGATTTATGAAGATGGGCCAGAAATGTCTGAATTTGATTTTAAAGCGGCTTTAAAGATTTGGAAGTCTGAAAAGAATTTGGAAGTCTGAAAAGAATTGAAAATTATTTTCACAATAGTAAGACTAGAGCACATCATATATTATATTGTTATTGTTATTTTTTATATTGTAAAATAGATGAAAGAATAAACTGAAAATAAATGGTAATAATTAAATGTTTGTTTATTTATTTATGAGCATGCAATATCTCGTGTTGGCAATTTTCTAGAAGTCCCCCTAAATTTTCAGAAGTCCCCCTGATATTCAAAAAGGGGGACTTCAAGTCTCCCTAAATTTTTAGTCCAGCTTGAGCCCTGTACACCTACTTGAAGATCCACCCATGAACAAGAGCAAATCTTAAATTTAAAATCTGCAAAAGCCTGTTCCTGCATTAAATAACCCTTTTCAAATAGGTTACTTTCGTCACATATTGGGTTATGACCACAAATGTCCCCAGTTTTATTATGATATAAAGTATTGTACTAAAAAATTATCACTCGACCTGTCCCTCAATAACTGTTACTTCATGTTCAGAAAATCCAGTCTTTGCAACATGTATCACTGCTTCTGTACCATCTGCTTCAATGAAAAACAAAATCAGTTATTGTGACAAAAAAATAAAATTTAATTTGGGCTGTGGTCATAATTAGACATATGAATGACACAGTTATTTGACAAAAGCAATATATGCTTATGTACTATTGTGCATTGTAGTTTTAAATATATGTTGCCAGGCAAAGAAACATATATATGCCACCAGTAGCCAAGTTATCCTAACAGCTAATTGTTGTCTATCTGCATTTTTGAAATATGGCCTTCTGTTCATCAGACACAGTTGTACTGTTTTTTTTAGATCCACTGTTCAAAATACATTAACAACCGTATATATATATATATATATATATATATATATATATATATATATATATATATGTTACAGTCAATGTGTAAAATCAGTCAATCTGTAGATTGGCTGGAATTTTTAGTCATTCTGTAGATTGACTGATTCACTCAGTCATTCTGTAGATTGACTAAAAAAATCAGTCAATGTACAGATTGATTGTAAATTTAAGCGGATTTCTAGACAGATTGACTAAAATGAATTATTCTCACTAATGGAATCACATAAGGCTATCAGATTATTTAAAGTCTATCAGATTATCATATGATCTGTTTTGATAATAGATTGGAAGCCAAAGTTTTAACTCTTTCTTAATCCTTAATTTCTTAAGATATCAGGTATGGTTAATTATTTGATTGTTTGAATAACAAATTGGAAGCCACAGTTAGAGTCCTCCTTAATCCCATAATTAACAACAGATAGGAAGCCAGTTCAAGTAACAATTCATATATGTATAAAAGAAAGTGAACAATAACAGACTGTATCATTGCTCTTTCAACTTTTGCAATGGAGAAGTCAATGGAAGATTCCTTTAGAGAGGAAATTTTGATGAAGAGAGAAGCCGACAAGCATGACAAGTCCTTATTGTTGACGAAAACAGAGTATTGCTCTCTACTTGAAGAGCTGAAAGAAGCTGGTTCTGCCAAAAGTAAAACACCTCGTCAGTATTACATCCTTGGTCGCTATGAGATATTGCAGTGTGGTGACGTGGAAAAGTTAATCAGGAAACGCAATACCAATGATGATGAGCCCATTTACTTTACACATATCGATGATATGTTTGACATTGTTAAGAGAGGTCATATTTCAACTGGTCATGGTCGCCGAGATAAAATGAAGCAATTTTTGAAGAAATATGCCAATGTGACCCGCGATGCAGTAGAATTGTACAAGTCACTTTGCGTAGAATGCCAGAAGAAACGTAAACGCATCACAACCAAAGGAGTAGTGGTTAAGCCCATTCTATCAAAGGGCTTTGGATCACGAGGCCAAGTAGACCTAATTGACATGCAGTCAATGGCAAGTGGCTCATCCCAATGGATAATGGTCTACCAAGATCATCTCACTAAATACTGTGTACTACGTCCATTAACATCCAAACGTGCTGCAGAAGTTGCCTTTTAGTTGATGGACATTTTCCTATTACTCGGAGCACCTCAGATTTTGCAAAGCGATAATGGATCTGAGTTCACGGCATCCGTTATCACAGAGCTGAAACTTCTATGGCCTGATCTTCTCATGGTGCATGGTAAGCCAAGACATCCCCAGAGTCAAGGTTCAGTAGAACGTTTGAACTGTGACGTGAAGGACATGCTCACTGCATGGCTAGGGGACAACGACTCAACAGACTGGCCTATGGGACTTCGCTTTGTGCAATTCCAAAAGAACAGCAGCTACCACTCTGGAATAAAGCAATCACCATACAAATCTCTGTTTGGAAGTGAAGCCAAAGTTGGATTGCGCTCGAACACCCTTCCAACAGAAATACTTGAAAGAATGGTCTCTGAAGAAGACCTTCTTGCAGCATACTCAGGCCCATCATCAGAGAGAGAAGCTACTAGCCATGTAGAACATCAAGATGTGAGTGAAGCTACTGGTACCATGCAACCTGATACAGCAGACCCTGAAGATTCAGAGCCAAGAGTGAATCAACAGAACATCGAGGTCCAGAGGAAAAGAGCAGTGGATGGTCAGCTTTCACAAGCTGAACGCATGGTCAAACGTAGTCGATTAGAGCATGTCGCTGGTAATCCGGGTGACAATGTGACCATCCCTATTCCATTAGTTGATCGTGGTAAGGGTGACCCTCGCAACATAATGGGTGTCATTGTAGACAGGAACGAGAATGACCTGTATCGTGTTGCTGTCAAGGCTGGGATTCTTAAGGGACACTATAGCAGAACTCAGTTCGACCTGTGCACCAATAAGCTGTTTAACATTGAGGACATGTCCAGGGATGTTGAAGTTGGTCTACATCAGGCAGTACAGAGTGAATCTCGATGCGGTGGCCAGGGATATGCTAAATGCAACTGTGCAGCGAGTGGCAAGCAATGTCAGACCAACAGATGTAAATGTTTCAAGTCAGGCGTTAAATGCAACAGCAGGTGTCACTCCAGCACCACATGTCCAAACAAGAACTGAAGTCCTCCATGATATGTCAAGCATCCCATTCACAACTGTAACTGAAATCATACCTGATATGTGAATAAAACTATCTACATAACTGTTTGTTTTGTTTTAATGTTTTTGACTCATTAGTGAGAATAATTCATTTTAGTCAATCTGTCTAGAAATCCGCCTAAATTTCCAGTCAATCTGTACAGTCAAACTATGATTTTATTTCTGATATATATATATATATATATATATATATATGTTACAGTCAATGTGTAAAATCAGTCAATCTGTACATTGACTGATTTTTTTAGTCAATCTACAGAATGACTGAGTGAATCAGTCAATCTACAGAATGACTAAAAATTCCAGTCAATCTACAGATTGACTGATTTTACACATTGACTGTAACATATATATATATATATCAGAAATAAAATCATAGTTTTCATCAAGTGGAATTCTGAGAAAATAAAATATGTGTTGATTGGCTTAAAATAGAGAGAAATGGGGTTTAACATACAAGACACAAACTGGGTCATATTTTATTTCACTAACGTGCATGCAGGTACGGGACTTTAGCTTTAGGAGGAAACAGGAGGATTGGGAAAACCCCACGAGGTTGGACAAGCAACACTACTCCTTGTCACGTACAAGCGGGGAATAGAAACCACACCACTTGGCTCACTGACAGACACGATGATCTAACGCCCACATGTTAAACCACTTGGCCACCCAACAATCATGGCTTAACAAAAGTTGATTGGCGCTATTGCACTTTCGCACTTCTACCAGTTCCCGTGGTCGTAGAGACTTGAAATTTGCAGGGGATGTTCAGGGGAACTAGTCATGAACTCACATTGTATTTTACTGACTTTTATCTTCAGCAAGATACAAATTTATCCGTTCGACTCCATTTTCTTTGTTGACTATTTAGACTCGAATAACAAGACACTAAGACAGATTCCGACACATTGCGCTTCCTGCCTAACGCTGCAGTTCGTAATAATAATAATTTTCATATATTTTAACTTTTGCGCCAAGCCACCATTTTTTATAAACGACTAGATTTGGCGATAACTAGTTGGATTGGCCTTAACGTGTGAATATCGCTGTGACCTTGACTTCAAATTTCCCATCGAGATCGGGACCTTTGCACTTATATGTGCTACGTCCCTATTTCTTGCTGTATATTCGATGTTAATGTCCGGGGTCAAAACAGAGAATATGCCCTTGATAAACGATGATAGGGTCAAAGTAGTGGGTCAAGGTCATGTTACAGAGAATTGAACTCAAACTTTTCAAAGGCAGTTTTGAGACATTTGACCTCGAGTTACGACCTTCATCCCCGTAACCATTTCAAAAGACCATCATCTTGGCTTGGACCATCGACATTTACCTTGGACCTGTCACGCACTACTTGGTCAGAAAACGGTCAAACGCAGAGGGTCCGTGTTCGACAGGGAAGCTATGGGCGTGGTCAATATGAAAGGTCGGGGTGACCTCCAGTAAACAACGCTAACCAACTGTGACCTCTAATTTGACTTCAAACCTCCCATCGATCTTGGGGATTTTGCGTTTATCCTTGCCATGGCACTATATCTTGCTGTATTATCAAGGTCAATGTTCATGTGAAAGCAGAGACGACGCCCTTCAGAAAAGATAACTGGGTCAAAGTCGTGGGCCAAGGTCATGTTACAGAAAACTGAACTCAAACTTTTCAAAGGTAGTTTTGGGCCATTTGACCTTCACTTACGACCTTCACCCCGTATCCATTTTAAAAGGCCATCATCTTGGCTTGGACCATCGACGTTTACCTTTGTCCGGTCACACACTGCTTGGTCAGAAAACAGTCAAAAACAGAAGGCCTGTGTTCGAAAGGAAGACAATGGGCATGGTCATTATGAAAGGTCGTGGTGACATACGGTCATCAACGCTAACCAACCGTGACCCCAGGAATTTGACCTTGACTCCAAACTTCCCATCGATATATCGGGGCCTTTGCGTTTATCTGCGCCATGGCCATATTTCTTGCTGTATTATCAAGGTTTATGTTGGAGGTGAAAGCAGAGACGACGCCCCTCAGAAAAAGTCGTGGGTCAAGGTCACATTACGGAAAACTGAACTCGAACTATTCAAAGGCAGTTTATGGACATTTGACCTTTACTTACGACCTTCACTCTGTAACCGTTTTAAAAGGCCATAATCTTGGCTTGGACGTGGTAGGTTTTCTCTGAAGATTTTCTTATGGTCAAATCGGTTGCTATCAGGAGAGGGTGTCGAGTTTCTATTGTTTGTTTATTTCGATAAAAATTAGAAATACAAATTGACGATCTTTATTATTATTCAGTATATTCCCGTCCACAATCCGAAAATTTAATACAAAATAATTGACCCTGGTGCAATTTGCATGAATGTTTAAACCCAAATACATGTAGTATTTATTACCACTTTCTTTTCTTTGTATGGAATTGGGTGATAAATATATATTCATGTTCAAGAAATGGGTGTTTTCAGATTTAGATCCCATGGTTTGCTTGACAAAGGATTTGTGCTTGAGTAA